TTGTTATTATTATGAAATCTAAACAAATCTAAAAAAGAAAAATCTTTCTTTCATGAAGATTAAAAATTCTTGTTGAACAAACATTTTTGTTGTTGTCATATCAGCAAATGTAACAAAAGCAAAACCTACATTTATTTTATTTTATTAAAAATGTCATTAATAAACCTCTATGTCGACCACGACCACTATATCGATCATAAATAATAAATGTTTCTTCAACCTAAATCAATTTAATTATTTCAAAAGAAATTTTGTTAAATTAAATAATAAACTTGTCCATAAGATTGAAAAAATCTTCTGGTCCAACTGATGATGGAACACCACCAACAAATATTTTTCGCTCTCGTCGATAATGACTATTAATTAATTTAAAATCGAATAAAAATGTTAATACTGGGATCAACTCCACTGTCTTCTTTGTTAATCGTCGAAGTGGTGTTGATTGTTGAAGAAGAGATGATGGAAGAAAATGAGCTAATAGCTCATTGTTTCTTTTTCTTTTTCTTTTTATTTAAATTTAATTTTAGATTTTATTTCGTTTTATGGAATTAGATTATTCGAGGTTGAATTCAAGAGTCTATTATGATTCATTAGTATTTATTTTATTTTATTTATTTAGAATTTAATATTAATTTAGATTTTATTAAAAATAATTTTCTAAAATTTTTTTAAAATAAAAAAGTAAATGCATTAATGTGTTAAACGAGAGGTTTTAATCTCGGATATGATTAGTTGAGAAATAATTGACGAATAGAATTTTAATAAACAATCAATACGTATTTCTGTTTCTGATGTTTTTTAATGACAAAAATGCACTTTGTTTTTTTTTTTTTGTAGAGAAAATTAATAATTAGAAATACTTTGTTTTAAAGATTTATTTGAAATAAGTAAAAAAAAGAGAAGAATATTTTAACGAAAAATGTCGTTCGTTATCAAAACCGTTGGAATTGTTCATCAAGCAACAACTGGTACTCTTCTCTGGTATTATTTTATTCTTAAGAAGTTCTTTAATATTAATTTAAATTATTTCTAGGAATGGCACAACTGTTCGTAATATGGTAACCCTTAAAGATAGGAAGAATTTATCGATTTATTAAAATAATTTAATATAACTATTTTTTAAATTTTAGTTAGTCGTCGTTTAAAATCGGTAAAAACTATTCAGAAAATAACAAAATCAATGAAGATGGTTTCTGCAGCTAAATTTGCAAAAGCTGAAAAATAGAATTACGTGCTGCTCGATCATATGGTTTAAGTAGAAAAGGTTAAAAAATTCTTTTATTAAAATGAATCTTATTTTATTCTTTTGCCTTTTTTTGTTTAGCTTTTTATGATAATTTAGAAGTTGAAAAAACTGAAGGTCCACAAAAACATTTATTTATCGCTGCAACATCTGATTGTGGTCTTTGTGGTGCAGCAAATTCATCAATTGTTAAAAATATTCGTACACAATTAACTGATGAAAAACAAAATTTCGAAGGAAGAAAAATCATTGCTATTGGAGATAAATCTTGTACTGGTTTATCTCGTACACATTCATCAAATATGCTTTTATCAGTTAATGAAATTGGAAAACGATCACTTGGTTTTGGTGATGCATCAGCTATGCACAACAATTAATTAATGCAGGTTTTGAATATAATTCAGCTGATATTGTTTATAATAAATTCAAGTAAAATTTAATTCTTTTTATAAGAAAAAATAATATTTTGTTAAATTATTTAAAAGATCAGCGCTATTGCTTATACAACATCTCGTCAAAAGATTTTATCTGGTGATGGAATTGCACGTTCAAAATCAATTTAAATATATGATTGAACTGATGTTGATGTTCTTCGTTCATTTCAAGAATTTAATTTAGCATCTGTTCTTTATTATACAATGAAAGAAAATGCAACATCAGAACAATCATCACGTATGACAGCTATGGATAATGCTACGAAAAATGTTGGAGAATTAATTAATAAATTAACTACTTATTATAACAGAACTCGATAAGCTGTTATTACAACTGAAATTATTGAAATTATTTCAGGCGCTGCAACTTTAGAACAGAAAAGTTAAAAGAATTATTTTTCAAGAACAGAACCTTTCTTTTTTCTTTTCGTAGTTTGTTCATTTAATAAACATGCTTTTGTCCCTTCCATTTTTCTTTTTTCTTTCTTTGATTCGACACAATAAAATCGTGTAAAGATTTCATTCGATTTTCGTTTTCAGATGTCGAATGAAGATAAACAACATGATGTTGAAACACCTGTTACACCATGAAATTTAGCTATTTACTATCGAAGAATTTTTCCATCACATATTTATTGTAAATGGCTTGTTTATGGAGAACGTAAGTCAATGGTCTTACATACAATCAAATCGGTTGCTGATGGATCTCAGAATCCTCTTTAAAAATTCATTCTTGAAATTGTTACACTTCATAGCACTTTGTTGAAATGTTTGTAAACGAAAGATTTTCATCTTTACGAGAAAGCATTTAGAAATTTACTGGTGGTCAAAGGATATAATACTTTAAAACGATGTAACAACTGAAGTTAAAGATTGTTAAATGTGCATCTAAATATGTTGAATAATATGTAGATTTTGAAGTGATTGTTTGTTATTTGTTCTAGCTGCTACATGTCCACAATTTGCTCAACGTGAATTTAGTTTTACACTTGAAAATGATGTTTATCGTCGTTATCTTTCATTTTCAAATCATATTGAATTTGAAAAAGAATTAATAAAAATATGTCCTGAAAATATTGATATAGGTGCTGTTTATTCAGCTAAAGTAATTTATTTATTTTTCTTAAAATAAATTATAATTTAGTCAAAAGATCATAAAATATTATCTGCTGCACAATTTTATCCAATTGAACGTGAACTTGTATTTGATATTGATATGACAGATTATGATGATGTCCGATTTTGTTGTCGGTAAAGAATTTATTTAATTATAATAAATATAAAAAAGAAACTTTATTTAAAGTGATGCTGATATTTGTTGAAAATGTCGGACATTAATGGGATTTGCAATGCAAATTATTGATCGTGTATTACATCGTTTGTTTAGAAAAATAAATGAATTTTAAAAATAAAATAATTATTTTAAAGAGGATTTTGGATTTGAACATCGTTTATGGATATATTCTGGTCGACGTGGTGTTCATTGTTGGGTTTGTGATCAAACAGCTAGAGAACTAATAGATGGCAAAAAAGTTCGCTCCAATTTTCCTATCGATAAAAATAGAAAAATTTCTAAGAACTTTTTTCAATAAACGATACCACAAGATACAGCGTGAAAAGCTCTACAATTTGCATAGAACATCTTATTTTACAGTTGTACTTTTTGTTTTCAAAATTGACAAAATTCTGAGCAACTAAATTTCGACGCTGGGAAAAAGTTTTTTTTTTGGCACACGAGGAATGCATTTTTTCTCATTTAGCACCTGATATCGTTTATTTAAAAAGAAATATAATATACCACAAGATGTAGCGTGAAAAGCTCTACAATTTACAAACAATAATTATAAAAATATGAAATAAGAAAAAGCGAATTAATCTTGTACCAAAGAAAATATTGTTTTCGAATGGTCGCTCAAAATTTTGTCTATTTGAAAACAAAAAGTGCAACTATAAAATAAGCGGTCTTATGTAAATTGTAGAGCTTTTTACGCTGCATCTTGTGATATAATTTATTGAAAAAAGTTCTCAGAAATTTTTCTATTTATATCGATAGGAAAATTGCCGCGAACTTTTTTGCCATACCTTACAATCAAGTATTCGACAAGTTATTGTTGAACATTTAACTGCTATTATAGTATGATTATATAAAAATATTATTTTGTGTTATCTTTAGGATGGAAAAGATTCAACAAAACGTGTGACACTTTATTCTCCATTACATCCATCACTTCAGTAAATAAATAAAATTATTTTTATTGAAATTTTATTGAAAAATTTAGGCGAGCACGGGAAATAATTTAAAGTGAATTTGGTGGATATGCTTGTTTAGAACAAGATTTTCTTGGAGATGATCAACGAATTGAACGATTTCTTCGACTTGTTCCTGATGATAATATCCTTTTTGAATAGTTTATATCGAATATTTTTGATAAGTTACAAATCTGTAGTATCTGAAATACTTCGGATTGGTGACTTATGAAACATTTTCGAAACTATTTTTTTATTTAAACTTTTCATTTCCTTGACTATAAATCTAAACGTCGTCAAACATTACGTGAAGCATTTACTGAATTGTCGACATCCGCCGAACGATGGGCTGCATTTAAACAACATACTAATGCAATGATTAATTCAGCAACATCAACAACTAAAGTATATTTAGTTTTTCGATTTGAAACTCTCAGAATTTTATTTTGGATAAAATAGTATCGTAAAGCAGCATATGTGACATTAATTGATGAAATTATGTTTGAATATTGTTATCCACGTCTTGATGCAAATGTAACAAAAGGAATGAATCATTTACTTAAATCTCCATTTACTTTTCATCCAAAAACAGGTCATATATCAATACCAATTAATTTAAATTCATTAAGATATTTTGATCCATGTAAAGAAGGTTTAGTACCCAAATTAAATGATTTATGTCAACAAGTTGAATAATTACCTAAAAAAAATCAACAAAATGATGATGAAAAGACGATTACTAAACAGAAAGGTCTTGTTTTTTTAATTAAATAAAATAAAAAAAGAAAGATTTCTTTTGTATTTAATAGATTATAATCAAACATCTCTTAAACCATTTGTTGATGTATTTGCTCGTTTTGTTCAAGGTTTACAAACGAGTAAACAAGATGAAGTATTAGCTAAAAGTGGTCAGTTATTTTTATTATTATTTGATGTTGTACATCATGACTTGTTTATTTTAGATCTTAATACAATGTTATCAGGTGAAATTTAATCAAATTATACAAACGTCAGGTGTTTATTAAATAGATGTATTCATTAATTGTCAGATATATTTACGACTTTATTGTCTATTTTTGTTATTATAATTAGATATTAAAAATAAAATATAGTTCTATAGAATATTGATATTAGAAATTTAGCGCAAAATTTTATTCTTTTATCTAGATGAAATATAGATGAATGATATAGAGTAGATGTTTGCTGTTTTGTTCGATGTAGTGAGATAAAATGAATTTCTTGATCTTTCTATCAGCATACGATCGAAGCATGCAATATAGTAATGGTTCGATAGATGAAAAAATAAAAATATTTCGACTATCAAAATGATGACGATATACAATACATTTATTTCAATCAAAAGATAAGCGAAGTACATTTCTAGTGTTTTATATGATGTGCTACGATGTAGGTGTCGCTATTCTCAAAGTTGATGCTCACCATTGCTTCTAAACATTTGAAATTTTTTCATTTTTTTTTTATTAAAATTAACAGCGATAAAGTTTACCTATACGACGTATTTCAGTCATATTATCATGATGATTGAAGAGTCGGATTCAATCGGATTTTTGTGAAGATTTCTCTAGAACCGACAAAATCCCGTTGAAATCCAGGTTATGGAACCATATTCGGATCCTAGTGTTGGGATCCAGCTGAATCCGTCTGTGATCCCGTAACCCGAGATCCCACAGGATTTAGTCAGTTGGTCAGATCCAATAAGATCCGATAATCAGATGTTTATTAAATATATTTCTTCATTAGATTATCTCAACAAATATCTTTCGACTGTTTTTACGTGAAAAAAAATCTGAATTATACTGGAAGAGTCATTTTAATTAGTAATCAAAGTCTATGTGACCTATCATTAATAAGCGGATTATTCTTTTAAAGAATAATATATCATTGGCCTCTGATTACGAGTTTTTCAAAAAATAGGAATCCATAGAGGATTCAGTTTTTCAAAAAGAAAGGATTCTTTATAAAAAATAGGAAAAATATAGGTATGCATTACTTCTTCTCAAAAGTCTAGCAATGTAAACTTTACAACTGGAAATCTTCTTTTAATACAATTAGCTCGAATGGCTGGACTCTGCTTAGACATAGTCATCTGATTTCTTTCTACCGAAATAGACAATTAATTCGATTCTCGTTATAACCTTTAATTATAACATATTTTATTCAGATAGATCCTTAATAAAAAAAATAAATCATAAACTTTGAAAATATAAATAAAGAAAAAAAGAAAACAAGTACTATTTTTTACAATTACATCGAAACATCCCATTGTGAACACTCTGAAATACCACCGAGCAATTGTTGCTATATAAATGGCCTCTCCTTAGCGAATACATCCGTATTCTGAACTGTGAACGCTTTTTTTTCATTTCCGCCAGCTAGAAGAACCTCTCAAATGTGGACATTTTTATTCTGCTTGGATTCTAGCTCATCGGCGAGCATATTTACAAAGAGAAAGGGTTCCAAGTAAGTTGATGGGCGCTCTTGATCTCGAGTATGCACAGCTGACGGCTCTATTTTTTCATTCATAAAAAGTATCCAATTGAGATGAACTCGTCTCCTACGTTCTATTCAGAGTTTTCCTTTCTTAATGAGCAAAATGACGAGTCAGAGCATCCACTCATGATAATCGATCAGACCGAAGGAGAAGGTACTAAACAAGGATAATCACAAGTCATCTCACCCCAAGCTCTCGGAAGCGACAAAATGTTCGAACGATTCCGCCTTCTATCAACTATCGTTTATTTTAGACTACATCCAATTCTTCCCAACTTGAATCTCAGTTAGCTGATCTCTATCTCGCGAATAAAATGATAGAATAGGGGAAATTTGAGAATTTTTTGTGAAGAAAAGTTGAGCAAATCTATGACTGAAAGAGTCAAAAGAAAAGAAACGAGCATCAGAGCTTTTTAACTTGACACAGAGAACAGAAACTCTTCTATGAAAATAAGTGAAAACTTCTATATAATGAGCACCTTCGTATAGTGAACGCTTTCAACTATTTCCGACCATGTTCACATTAGAAAGGTTTTGGTATATATATATAACTCGCATTAAAGAATTTTCCAGTCAATTCACTTTTTAACAGAAAAAGAAATATTGTATAATAAAAATAGATGCCACAATAACATATGCGATTATCGAAAACATTTGATTATACATGTAATGTGCGCGTTGTTCAAAGTCTGACGATTATGCATAATAGAACTCAGAGATTTTCAGACATTTCGTACTTTTTTCGGTATAATATAGGTAAAATAGGAAAAATAGTCGATATATAGGACAAATTAAAGGATTTTCGAAAAATATAGGTTTTATAGAAAATATAGGTCGAATCGGAGCCCAGATTATATCATTAATGAATGATGCATTTCATTATATATTTTACACTTTTTTCTACTTAGAAATTTTTTTTCTGAATACAATGTATTAGAAAAATTCGTTTAATTATTAATTTGAAAATAAATAAAGATAATGAGAGTGTTAATAGAAATACTGAGAGACAATTTCTGGATATAATGATATCCAAATCAATACCATCGAACTAATTGTATGATTGATTTAAATCCAAATAGAAAAGATAATCGAATTTTAAATATATACAGACAAAACATTTAATGATCCTCATGGAAAAAAGTATTTGGACGATCAGTGGCATCACTTGAACAACGAGTACGACCAAATATCATTTCATCATTATCTATTTTTGTATCGGTATTAGATGATGTTCGTTTCTTTTAATAAAAAAAAGACTAAATAAATGATTTTTTATTAATAAAACTTACAGTAGATGGAACAGTAGTATCATCGAATGATGAAGTTTTAACAAGAATATTATTGAAGAATTTGTCGACTAATATCGAAGGTGGACTGCTTTCTGAACGTGGTCGTAATAAATTAAAATCTATTCCAACTGATAAACATTTTTGTAATCGACATGCTCGACAAGGTGGTAATGATGCTGAAAAATATTTTCGAGTTGTTTCAATATCACATGTTCCATTATGATTACATTTTAATATATAAGAAAAAAAAAACACAAATCAAATAATTCAAAAGATAAAATCTAATTTTGTATGTTGAACTAACATTAGCTGGTAAAAAGGCATGACGTCGAAAAAAAGATTTACATGGTAAACATATTCTTATACCAGAATTATTTCCATAAACATAAGCACCACAAACAACACAATCAAATGGAGAAGTTGATGTCTGTTTTTGTTCTTCACGCATATGTTATTATAAAAATATTTTATATTTATTGCAATTCAATGCATTTTATATATTCTCGCTCATTTTTTCCTTTTCTTGTTAATATATTATTAACACTATTTTTCTCTTTAGTTTTTATGCCGTAGAATTTGATATTCTTTAGACTATCATCAACTAATCGTGATTGCGTTTGTCAATATAATTAATTTTTTTTTCTACGAACGTCATTTACTTGCTTGTTTTTGTTATATAAATGGATTTTATATGAAACACTATTTTTATCGTTTAATTAGAAATAATTGATGCATATCATGACAAAAAAAATGAACAAAGATCGATAAGATATACTAAATAAAATAACAAATTTTCAACGTTATCTCAAAGATTTTTTAATATTATATTGATGAATGTATATTATGAATTAGATAAAAAATTCTAAAGACAATATTTTATAAAATATAACTTATATGTAATTTGAGTTTTTTCTGAGTGTGTTATTTAAATTAAAATGTTTATTTTTATTTGCGAATAATTATTTTCCAGAGATTTATTATTAATGATCTTAGTATGGAAACCATATTTTTAGCGAGATAATAATGAGAATTATAAATATCTGAAAATATTAAAGCTTAGGGATTTACCTCGAATAGAAAAATAAAGAAGTGCTGCAATATATAATAAGAATTAATTGTGCTCTATTATGTTGTTTGACCTTTGTTTTGTCTAATATCTATGAGGTTGACTTTTTATCACCCTTAAAGTATTCTCTAATAAAAGAGCCCATATTGGCTAACATTATTTGATTAAATGCTCGAGTTCAAATTTTTTTTTCACTTGAAATAGATGATTTAATATTTGTACCGGTTTGTGTTCTATAAAGATGATATTAATTACTTTCAACAACTGAAAAAATATCGTTCATAAATTGATACTTTTTGTTAATTGAATTAATTGAGAAAATATTGACATATATTATACTCAAATAACTGTTGTTAACGACAGAAAAACTTAACAGTCAAATCTAATTGAAAGTAGAATTTATTGCAAAGAACTCACTCTCATTTTTTTTGAACACTATCAGAACTTTCTGTTAACTATTCTATTTTTCAAAATTCTTTATCTTGATTGCACAGAAATGTGTTGCTCTCCAAAAAACAATTAAAACTCTTCATCATGATCCTATAGTCTTGAATTCTATATGCTTTTATTTAGTGTCACAAAGAACTATTCGCAATTATAATATTAAAGGGACATACTTTCTCGTCGCAGAATATTCATTCTTTTCAATGTTGAGTTTTTTCTGTTTTATTTATTAAACATAAATTTCAAATTAAAACAAACTCAGGAATTAGTGATGCTTTACACCGAAGAAAACTTTGATCATGTTTGGACTGTTATAACTCTCAAATAGTTCCGAAAGAAGAAATCAGAGAATTTTTATTCACTATTAACTATTGTTATATTTCTCAAGATCTATCTGTTCTATGTACTGTTTTGATAATACTATATAGAAATTTCCTAATTTGTTTTCATTAGTGATCTATTTAAAATATTGATATTTGTACTTCAAAACTGTTTTCTTTAATGAAATATAATTTAAAGTTAAACTAAATCCAACACAAAAAAAAATAAGAAATCTATCTCAATACATATAAAACAAAGATTATTATTTTTCTTTTCAACACACAAAAAAAACACACTGTGAAATATTTGTTAATTTATCGTCGTTTTTTATTCATCTATCTATCTATCTATATATCTATCTATCTATATAAAGAAGAATGTTTGTCTGTTTGTCTGTTTGTTCGTTATGCATTTCCACACCATACGAGCAAATGCAACCAAACTTTCCAGGAATCTTCCTCACATCCACGAGAAGGTCAACGTCTACTTTTTTTTAAAAACAGTTGATCCTTCGCCTGGAAAAAGCCTCCCTATGTTGCTAACCAATCAGATTGCAGTATTCAGTACTATAGAACTACTACTGACCACCACTTCGCGAACACACAGAAAATATGAAACTAGAGGTTTTCGAGGGCGGTGAGTTCGAATCTGGGGTCCATTTATCTCGAAATCTGATTGGTTGTTCCGAAACCAATAGAAATTCAGCTCTTAAGAAAATAGATGAAAACACCTATACTTTCGGGAAAATGATGGGACAGGGGTTTTTTGGACGTGATAAGTTCGAATCTGGGTCCATTTGCCTTGAAATCTGATTGGTTGTCCGGAAACCAATAGGAACACAGCTCCTAATAATATAGACGAAAACACTTAAACTTTCGGGAAAGTGATGGAGCAGGAGGTTTTTGAACATGATAAGTTCGAATCTGGGTCCATTTGCCTTGAAATCTGATTGGTTGTTCCGAAACCAATAGAAACTCAGCTCTTAAGAAAATAGATGAAAAGACTTACACTTTCGGGAAAATGATGGGACAGGGGTTTTTTGGACGTGATAAGTTCGAATCTGGATTCATTTGCCTTGAAATCTGATTGGTTGTCCGGAAACCAATAGGAACACAACTGCTAAGAAGCCAGCTAATCAAAATTGCGTTTTCACAAACACAATTAGGTAGGGGTTTTCAGAGGCGGTGAGTTCGAATCTGGGGTCCATTCGTCTTGAAATTTGATTGGTTGACAGAAAACCAATAAGAACTCAACTGCCAAGGAACCAGCTAATCAAACTTGCGTTTTCAGGAGAAAAGTCGAGTAGGGGCTTTCAAAGGCTCTGAGTTGGAATTAGGAATCCAGGCACTGAATGTGAGTATAGGGTATGGAAGCCCGTTTCTTCTTCTGTTTATATAAACAACGACGTTTGTTTTTCACTTCTTTGTGCATTTGATGTCGGTAATAACTAGCGCCATCAAGCTTTCTCTGGCATGCCCCTTAGTCTAGAGAAAAATTGAGACGAGATTGGCGCGACAAACAAGGAAAGGAAGGCAACTGGGCGTAACTCTACCGAGGTTGTAAAAATCGAAAATTCCCTAATCTCTATCTCTAATGTACGTTAAGAAAAAGAATTTTGACAGGCTGTGCAAAGAGTGACCATGTATTCACACCGGGAACAGTCATGGCTCTTACTGATATACCGTTTGAGTTCAAGCGTCTTCAGTTACCTGTACCTGCTGCCTTCGCGATGTCCAGCAACAGCGCTGAAGAGCAATTGTTTAAGGTGGCAGGTATTAATCTAGAGAGTCCTTCCTTTTCTCATGATCAACTTAACGTAGTATGCTCGAGAGTTGTAACTGGGAAGAATTTCTATGTTTTAGTCCTTGATGCGAAAACCAAGAAGTTTGTGTATCAAACAGCTTTGCAATAGACTTTGTATTTCATTAAACAGTCTTTTCTAATAAAAGAAGTCGATCAAACAAAAAGAACACTGAAAAGGATAGAAATGTTTTTAAAAAATTAAAAATGACGAAAACATCAGTTGAAAACGGAAAGTGATCTGAGCATATTTTGCAATATCGAATTCCAAAAATTGATAGGAAATCATAACGATATTGTTTTCTAATATGTCAAGTATATATTATTAAATTATCTCGACTAACATCGGGCACCACCGCTAGTATATATATAAAGAAGAAAGTTTGTTTGTTTGTTTGTTCTTTATGCATTTGGACACGGTACGAGCAAATGCAATGAAACTATGCAGGCAATACCCTTTCATCCAGGGAAAGGTCGTAGGGTAGTTTTCGACCCAAAATTTTCACTTTAGGGGGGGGGGGGGTATTTGCCCCCTCCATTGTTTGTTTACTGTAGTAAATGCCTTTTCCAAGGAATCTGTGCATGTGATTGTTTTCTCAATAACTCGAGAACGAAAGTAGATAATAATCTGCGCTTTTTGCCATTGGGCACAAGAGATTTTAGGATACTCGAAAGGAAACGAGTAGAATGTATAAGATGAAGAGTAACCGTATGAATGGAAATATCCATCGAATGAAAAGGCAACAAGTGTGATGAAATTCCATTACTCATTACTCATAATAGGTTATAGCAGAGAACACATAGTGAACGAGTGGCAATAACCGAACATATATGATAAAAATATGAAAGGAATAGACGTAACACATATGATGATGCATACAGAACGAATTGAATATGTCAAACACATATGATGACGTGGATCGAAGGAAAGGAATAGGCCTAACACATATGATAATAGATACCGAACGAAAGGAATATACCAAACACATAGGATGACGTAGATTTAAGGATAGGAAAAGACCTAATACATATGATGGACGATTCCAACAAGCATGAGATGTATATCTATATATATAAACATGACAATGTTCCAATCACTACCAAACACATTTTACCAAGCAGCTTTCTTAACTACAAATCAACTTCAAAATCGTTCGAAACATCAATCAAAACCATTTCTCATAACGATTCTGAAATCAATTTTCCAAGTGTTCATCAAACGGGTGTTATAGAGCTATTTCAAACCGATCTGCGCCTGGATTATCAAGGTATTTTTGATTGTGACTTCAAGAACAAATTTTCAAGATAACTTTGTTAACAACACAGTTCTTTCAAGTGGTATTGCTAATCTGTATTACTTCATTAGAAAATCTACAAAATGCCAGTAAAACGGAGAACCCAGATAGGCAGAAGTACATCAGATTCGAGGAGAATGGCAGCTTCCAGAGCAGCCGAGACTTCGGAGGAGACACGCACTCGGCTTGATGATCAACGTTCACGACAAGCAGCTGCCAGAGCAACCGAGACACCAGACCAGAGACGAGCTCGAAGTGAAGATCAACGTAGACAACAAGCAGCCTCAAGAGCAGCACATTGGACATTTATGGAAAGGGAAGCGTTTCGATATCATCCAGCCAACAGCTACGACAACCATCCTCAACTTTATATTGGACGAATGAACGACGTTTGCTCATATTGTGATGCTCTTAAGTGGCCTGGAGAATAGTAGCGTAGCCAGGAAATTTTTACAGAGGGGGCAAAACCTGGTTTTTGGCTGGGTAAGAGACTTTTACAGGGGGGGGGGGGGGAAGACCAGTTACAGAGGGAGCGTGGCCCCCCCCGGCGCCCCCCCCCCC